GGCTGTCAAATTATTAACATTTTTAATCAGATTAATCACAGCTTAAAAATTAATTAATCAGATTAATCACCATTCGAACTATGCCATTTCTTCATGTATATTGTTGTCGGAATGGAAAGATAAATGAAAGAAGGCGGATATATTCATTTTACATACAGTATGTATGTTTATTATAACATTGTTCTGTCTGTGCACACGGAGACCGACTCTGTCGTCCGGTGATCTAACCGCCTCCTGGAAAAGCTTCACAAGTACGTCGGTACGCAAGTGCTGGTACGCATTTCAGATTACGCACATAACCTGCGTACCAGTTATGTGCAGCCCTGTACTACAGCAAAAGTATTCGCCATCGGGACTTCCTGTAACAACACCACACCGTTATCTTGATTCTGATTGGCCAGAAGACATTTTCAAAGATTTTCTATTGAGAAGACGATCACTACGTGACAAAAGTTTTCAAAACCGTTTCTGTCCTCGGTTTTTCTAGACAAGTGGCTACTGAAATCAATCTTACTAAGTGCTGTCTGTGCAAATCTCGGCGCGAGTTGGCGGACTTTATTTAGCTTACTTTAACATAATTTTTCATGGTGGGGCTAAGCCATTTCTTGGTATGGGTGTAGCCTACCCCACCCTGGCGCTGCCACTGGTGGGATGTATGGGGCGGGCCATTCTGCGCATGCGTTAAATGCGTTAAATATTTTAACGCAATTAATTCAAAAAATTAATTACCGCCGTTAACGCGATAATTTTTACAGCATTAATATATATATATATATATATATAGCGCCAAATTTCAACTAATCTATATCTACTGTCACTTTTCACATTGAACATGTGCTCTTTTATTAAATGAACTAAACGATTTTAAGTTGTTTTTGACCCTAAGAAACACTGATGCATTAATCAATAACAATAATCCACAGCTCCTTTCTCTGCTCCAGAGGATTTAAAAAAATATATATCCCAATGCCACATCCCAAACAGCAACCGTCTGTTCAACGCCATCGATTCAAACGGCAGCACTTTATTAACATTTTGTCTCAAGCTCTCATCCTTAGTAAAAACAAAACTAGTGGAAGGGGAAATGCTCCCAGGGGAAGCTGATCCACCTTCAGGTGCTGGGACAGCTTGCTCCCTCTCTGCAGCTGTGTGCGCCGCGGTCTGTGAATGCCGCTCCGCAGTTTAATGCAGGGCCGTAACTGCGTTTTTAACGGGCCTAAAATTAGATTTAAAATGATTCACTATTAATTAATGAACGGCTTGTTTCGTTGATTGAGAAGCTTATGGACATAGTGCAGGTTTGTTTTTACAAGTACAGTTTTAGGGAGACAAAAGTTAGGGGGGCAGCTGGGGGGGGCAAGGCTCTACAGTGGGGGGGCAGCTGCTCCCCCCTTTCCCCCCATAGATCCGCCCCTGCAGACCGGTGAAGCCATTTTGGCGAGCTTGTTTTGCCACGCACAGAGAAAAGTGTCATGTATTTTACATCATAATTTTACGTCATGCGATCGGCATTTTTAGAGAGCACCGATCGATCATCAGAGAGTGAGTATCGGCCGATACCGATCGCGGCGGATCGATCGGAGCACCACTAATATTAGGCATTGGTGTTGTTAATTCATAGACACTTTCTAAAATGTACATTTTAATGTATAATTCCAATTAAGTTACCTTTTTATCTTTCAGTATTACTTCTGTATTATTGCTATGTTTTGGTCATGTTTTTTAACATTACTTTCAATATCATAGCAATATTTTCATTTCTTATACTTTATCTTCCTTCAATTGTTATTCTTAAATTCACTGGTGTTAGTGTTCTTATACACTTTATATTTATTCATACTGTTTGTTTTTGAGAAATCTCGTGCACTATAGTTTCCTCCAGAACCAATACAGTTTTATCGTATCTATCTTATAAAACGTCAAGTGCCATCTATAAAAAGGATAACTATCAAACATGTCCTTGCTTGGTTTTCAAAATGTGTCTTACTGATTATAAATAGTTCCCATTAACACAACAAGCAGAGAGTACTCAACATGTGCGCACACACACTCCCAACTTTCTAAAAATGTAAACAAATCGAGAAGACTTACCTTAAAATAACTAATACTCATTTAGATACGATCAACATAAAGCTGAAGTAAGGCTTTAAGACGCAGAAGTTCATGAATATGTACATTTAGATCAATTAAAGAAAACTACAGTTAGCTGGTCACTAAAATAAGTCGTCAACAAGCACCGAAGTTAGATGGCTAACTGCTAACTAGCATCTTTGATTTTACAGTTAGCCTCTACCTTTTAACCATAGACTGTATATATATATATAAAGCTTTTAACAGATAACAGCTTCAAACAAAGCTTTAATAGTTTATTTATAATGAATATATCTGACAGCACTTTTGAATATATGGCATTAACATTGCTTTACATGTCATGTGTAGTGATGTAACTAAAAACAAACGGGCACCGAAATGGACTTTGGATGCTGCCTGAGAATGCATATTTTCGAGCCTACCAACTTCAAATAAACTGGTAACTAGGGTTAATAACTAATATCTATAGTTTGAGTGTAATGTTAAGTGAACATATGCAGCTTCTGGTTAATATATTGTGACTTTACGAAACAGAGACCGACCTCTGTTTTCCTTTTTCCTCGGTATGGGTATATTGAGGAGCCCCATCGGCATGTGCCGGTGGTGGACCGCCAGCGGTGCACAGCTCCTCCGCTCCGCCCTCCCGGCAGCAGCACCGAGTCTCTCCGGACCGGCTTGACTTTCCCAGGCCGGGTAAACCTCGCCATCTTGCAGGCTATCGTTAGCTCCAACATCCACCGCAGCGGCAGACGCCCTCCTCGGCGGGCGAGCTGCCTCCCTCCGATTCAGGTTATCTTCCATTGTTGGTTTCTCAACCACAACGACGCGTCTCTTATCAACCGTCAGTGTGTCACTGTTTCTCGGCTTGAGTCCCGCGTCGACACTGCTGTTACCTCCGGGTCTTGCAGTGCAGAGAGGCGAAGAAACAACACACATCCCGCGCTATCATGCTTTTCCTGTAGCAGAGGTCTTCTTCACTGAGGCTAAACTTAAGCTGGTAGTTTTACTACATGTCACTCTACTGCCATCTTCTGGACATGACCAGAAATACCACCTTCATCGTAGTTCGATCATCATGGAATCCGCTTATTCATTGTAATGTAAAATAAATATACATAACAATTATCCAATGAAAAATATTAACAAATAAAACTTGAAGTGGAGACTTACATGTTAATGGGGAAAAAATCAACCAATATGTTTTTTATATTAAACTTACCAAGGTCATTACAAACATCAAGACAATTGCCTTTTCAATCAAAATGTATAATTTGATTGTTTGAAAATGAGGCATTTTGTTATTTTACGTCTTTAATATGTACAAAAAAACGTTATGCCCGAGATTTTTTTCTGCTTTGGGCAGATTGGGTTCTAATCAGTTTCCCTATAGCCTAATAAGATTTGTAAAATGGGAATAAAGCCCAGTTGTGCAATGTTACCTTAGGACAGGAGAAGAGGGAGCGTCGTTTTCTTTTTTGGTCCTCCTAGTCTAAATGGGTGGGATGTTTTTATTTTTGAGAAATAGTTCACAATTTATCCATGGTTTTATGCTTCTCCTGTTACAATGTGAAAATTATGCTTTATCTTCTGATATTAATCCAGGGGGCATCAGTTTTTCTTCAGCTGCTACCTTTCCACTGCCTTTTTTTTAGTTCGTTTTTGAATTTCTGCTTCCTCTATACCAGGGGTCACCAACCTTTTTGTCACCGAGGGCTACTTCAAGGGTACTGAGTAATACGAAGGGCTACTTGTTTGATACAAACTTCCTGAATAACATAATTGCACGGTTCACCTTTAATGATAATATTATTATTAATAATAATCAGAATACATATTAATTTACTGTATGTGAAGGACTGTCTAATCACATGTTAATGTTAATTATTCCTCACAATAATTATTAACAATGATTTACCATTGCTATAGCAACCCCATTGTTTTGTTATGAAAATGTATCTATATTTATACACATTCTCGCGAGATCTATCAGGGGTCGTTGTAATGCTGCATTCACACCGGACGCGACTTCGCTCTAATCGCTTGAGTTTCACCGCTGCTGCCATCTGTGTTTACTCGCATCATTCAAACAAGACGCGCTGGCTCGGGAGCTACAACTACAACAAAATGAACATATTTTACCGTGATTAAATTGTAATACACGTTTCTAAATGATGCCGAAGTAACAACATACTGATACCGTTTAGTAAAAACCATGAATTAATGCTTGACAAGTCTGCAGACAAGACGGCAGGCGAAAAACCTTTTTAAATGCTTGTTT